CAATGTGGTTTCCACGTGTGCCACAACATGTCAACACTTCTAAGAGAGGTGAAAGATTTCGACCCTGAGGTTGTTGCTAATGGCGAATAAGCTCATTTCAATATCTACATTGCTATTCAAAACGTGCTAATTAACCTCTTATTTATTAAACAGAAAGGTAGAGCTGGCTTCAAGATCTCACCCATCAACCCTCCCGCTATCAGAGGCGAAGTGTGCGCCTTTATTCTTGCAGAAATAATGAACAAGAAAGGACGTTTTCATGCCAAATAGACTCATGAACTTGGCTAGATAATTTATTGTGATGTAAAAAAGATGTTTTTATAATTTCTGGCGATGTAAAAAATTATGTTTTTATAGAGTGCAATGTAATTTACTTTCATATGTGCAATATTTATGGTACTTTACTAAATTGTCATCACATTTGATCAACTACGATTTACGTTGTACTATTAATCTATTTTCTCTTTTTTTTTCCCTTATTGACAGGTTGTGGAGGTCGAGTACATTATGGCTTTAATCCATTTGGTAAGTATATATGCGGTTCTATGAGCAATGACCGAAATTGTGGCTTTCAAGGGTGGTGAATTTGCTGTGCAAAATTGTGGCATTTGAACTGCATATATGTGTTGTTGGGGATCTGTGATGTTTGAGATGGATCTGTGATGTTATATTGGGGGGGTGATGTATCTGTGACTAGAATATATCTGTAATGTATCTGTGTTTCAGAGGGCATGGCTCGCAAATCCTGAGGCTAGCCAATATTTAGCATTTATTTTTTTTCTGGAATTAACTCATCAGTGACGGGTCGGAACAAAAATCCGTCGAAGGTAACCTAACCTGTGACGGACTAGCAAATAAAGGCCCGTCAGAGGTGACCTACCTGTGACGGGCCTTTACTTTTGGGGCCGTCACAGGTAGATCACCTGTGACAGCTTCTAACTACGGAGACCTCAACCTCTGACGGCCTTTATTTAAAGGGCCGTCAGAGATGAGTCACCTGTGACGGGTCCTAACTCGCTCTAGGCTAGCGGAGACCAACACCTCTGACGGCCTTCTAGTAACTTGCCCGTCAGAGGTGGGTGTCACCTGTGACGGCCGGCCACCCGTCAAAGGTGACTGGACTCACCAGTGACCACTGATCACTGACCATGCGCGAAGCCGTCAAAGATGAGGGTTTGGGCCCGTCACAGGTGACCTTGGCCAGTGTAGTGAGATTGCCATCGCTCTGATTGCATCCACGAGGGGGAAAAAAGATGCAGCTGAAGGCGCGCGTTGATAAGGGCGTATAACTAGCTGGTAGTCTATATGGGCATAGGACTACCCTAGCTTTTAGCCCAAGACCTTAACCCTATACCCACGAAGTCTAATAAAGTTCTGTGATATATAGTGATTTTCATCTTTGTAAGATTTATATTGTTAAACTGATTCACTTAAGATTGCATCAAGTGAAGCCTTAAAACAGTAACTGTATTACTCCCTCCATCCTAATATATATCAACCTAGAACTAGATAAACACATTCTATTAAAAAATCTAGATGTGTTCCACACTTGCATCCAGTTCTATATTGCTATATTTTGAGAGTTGGGATAAGGGAGTATATCATAATATGCTACTCTCTCCGTTCTAAAATATAACAAACTTCTAACATTTGAAATTTATCCTAAAATATAACAATTTTTCCACCTATATTCCTTCTCAATCAATTATAATATTTCACCGTTCAAATTTTTTAAGTATTTTTTCCTCTTAACCAATTACAATCTTCTCTCGTTTAATTTTACTTGTGTTCTTAATACTTGTGTGTAAGTCTAAAACTCATATTTTGGGACAGAGGTAGTATTTACAAGAACTAAGTTGTATTAGTAAGGACCACGGCGGAAGGTAAATGATTTCCTATTGTAGAAATGAATATCTCATCGTCTATATTTTAGCTTGTATGCATTTCTCATTTAGACATTTTTTTTTCATAATATTATATTATTATAATTGATACCTACTCAGTAGGGGGTCACATATAATCTTTTTCGTCTTTTGTAATGAGAAATAGGACTACCCAATGAAAAATTCCTGGCTACGCCACTGGTGTTGAATGCGGCTTATGAGCTTTGAGATGGAGGCGGTAGTGTGTGAGCTCTCGGATGGAGGCTTGGGTGACAGTGTGAGGGCTCTCAAAAGCATTGTAAAAATAGATAATGAACATAAAAGCTCTCTTTTACATCACCATCAAAATCTCGCTCTGCACATATATTTATATAGGTCTTATAAAGAGATAAATCGTATCTGTACTCCGATTTATAGATTAAAAAAAACCTATCTTATATAAAAATTTGTTTCACAACAATGGGTTTGGTTCGGTCTGTGGTTTGTTTAAGAGTCAGGCGTATCTGATGGGTGGTCTAGGGACCATCCAAAACTACATAGCTATAATTTAGAAAAGAAAAAAATATTCTTGAAAAGAGAATAAATATTTTTTTGCACCAGTAATAATTAGCAAGTCGTTTATTAATATATCACATGGTATATATTTTTTTATCAATTATATATTTTCGTTGTATACATTTTATATTTATGACACTTAAAAATTTTAAAATTATGTAAGGTGGACCACCATATAAAAATGCTTCACAGTGAGCTGGGTTGGACTTGGAGCAGTTTTTGGATGACGATCTAGGGCGTGTTTGGCCAGTGAGCCGGCTATTTTTTTTCAACGGTCAGGCTGTTGCCTTCGTTTTATATGAAAAAGAAGATGTTCTATTTTAAGAAAAAAATAGAACCAAAACTTACAATACTACAATGCATAGTTAATTAGAGAAACTGGGCGAAAACCACAACTATAAAACTCAAAACTCTTAGGGTCTGTTTGGGGAGCTTAAGATTCTAAGAAGTAGCTGTTAAGAAGCTAGCTGGTGAGAATCTGGAGAAGCTGGAAAATCCAGCTTCTGGCCTCTAGTTCATTTTCCAGATTCTACAACTACAAATTCTCAAAATCTTGGTAAAAAACTGGACTGTTTAGGAGAGTTTCTGGCAACTGAAGATTCTAGAAGAAGCTGCAGCTGTTAGAAGCTCCCCAAAGGGCCTTAACAACCTATCAAGACCCTGAAAATAAAGGACAGTCGGAGCCCAAAACAACTGTCGATAAAAGGCCAGTGAACCGGCCTTGAATGACGATCTCCCCAACTCTCGATCTCGCCGCCATCGTGGAGCTTCCCCTCGCCACGCAACGCTCTCCCCAACTCTCGCCACGCAACTCCAATCTGCCCGCCACCAGTCCACCGCGCCGCCTGCTGTGGCCGCGATGGCGTCCACTCCGCTCTCGCTTGCGGGCGCCTCGTCCCGTCTCTGGCTTTGACGGGCGCCAGGCCATCCATGGCCCCCGCACGGGAGGTGTTCGACGAAATGCGCGAGCGCCACCGCCGCCATGAGCTGTTTGGCATATGCTGGGAAAAAAGGCTATTCGTTTTACTGATTGAGTTCGCCTACACTCTCGTAGCATACGGGAGAAATCGATTCGTTTGTCTGTTTGAGTTCGCCTAAACTCTCATAGCATGGGAAATCGTGGCATCGCCAGGTTGAGCTCGCAGGCCTGCTGTATGCCAGCGGGATGCTTCTCTCTGTCAACAATTTTGACGTTATGGGACCTGTAAAACTGCAGGCACAAATTGGACGTGTTCCGGAGGAATGGCGTGCACCTGATGATCCCCTCTTGGGTTATGGAATCTGGTTGGAGACGCGGATGAGTGGAACAATAATTTCTACCAAGCTCTAAGCAAGTGAGTTCACATTTCCCATCAAGTTTGTGAGTTCGTATTTGTGCATATTATAAGATTGTGGAACCAGATAGCGCTTTCAGCTTTTTCATGAACATTTTTTACCTTAAGTTGTAGTGCACAAAACAAAGCTGCAATAATTTGCGCAAAATACAAAGTATTTGCCTGATGTGGAAGACATGGGACCAGAGATCATGATGGTTGTAGGCTTCTACTCACTAGGAGACTCCAAATTTAAATGGGCTGACCCAGTTAACACTTAACAGTTAAAAACATGATAGTCTTCGCTGCTGTTTTTCTAAGGCTACTGCTATTTTTTAACCTATTTTTCAGTAAAATTGTGTTGCTGATGTTTGTTTAACATATGGTCTAACAAATTTGCTTTGTTGGATCCTCCTAGAACTCCACCATTTATGGTTCTAACTTTTGACACATCAAATCAACTTGAGTTTGGTGATCCTAATATTTATCTGGAGTTTAACATGTAAGCTCGTTTGAATTTGCTGTTTCTAGTATCGAATAGACAAGACCAAAACTTACCCCAAATTTACTTCTAGAAATGCCATCTATGCATAGGTATATTACTAGCAAATTTTTCACACGCCATCCTTTCTGTACATAAGAGTTTGGGTGAATAAAGGATGCATCTCCTTACTTTGGAACAAAGTTGAATTAAGAGTTTTATGTAATGGCTAATCTACTGTTAAATTATGTTTTATTCTGCATAAAATCATTTCACGATATGATGTGTATCATAATGGTTTAAGAACAAATTACTTACAAAATAACAAGAAATCCTTTCTATATGGTAAAAAATAACTTCTTTACTTCCCTGAAGCATTACAAGTGTCCATCTTAGTCTTTTCATCTTGACCATTGAGCATGTAATATTGGCTCATTTCGCTTTCTAGTGCTCATCTGAGAATGGTTTTGGCATTCTGCTAAAGTTAGGTTGTCATCATGGGCAAGGTAACCGTGTGAACTGTATAGGGCATTCGATAGCAGGTAGGGGTGACATCTGTAGACAGCAGCCAACAGGTAAGGCAGTGGGTTACTGGGGTGCAGTTTTCGCTATGGGATGTGTCAGTGTTGGTTTTCAGATGACATGCACGGTGCATAACTATTGTTGAAACCCACCTAATAGGGTGAATTAAACCAATTTTAGAAGTTCAGGAGGCTTGCAATATATAGTTCTATTAGTTTCATGGAATCAACATTACTTCAAAGTGAATATTAGAAAATCAAAGCCCACATTGCTTTCAGAACATGTACTAGTGGTGCTAATGTTTTTAACGACATACTCAGAACATCACCGAAAATCCAAAATAGCCAGAAAGTATTCTTTTGATGCTTTCTGAAATATACTTCTCAAAGAACGAAAAAGATAAAATATAAAAGTAGTAATAAAAGGTAAAGTACATGAACCTGATTTTCCTGTAATCATTAGCCACCCATTTCATCTTGGACCAGATAGTATTGATTCTTGAGGTGGAGCCGAATATGTAGATGGGTTGCCTTGAGCAGATATTACTGAATTTGCATTGAAAAAACTGTAATCTAGGCAGTTCTCCACGCTCATTGCACCTTCCAATACCTTGACAACCATTGACATAGAAGGCCTCCGGCTGCTGTCATTCTGCAAGCACCACATTGCAAGCTTCATCATTTGAATCACTTCCTCCTGGTGTGACACCATGTCATTACTGTGCTTATCAATCATATCAAGCAACTGATCGTTTTGAGCCTTTTCTCGTAATAGGTTGATGAGCTGAACACTCTCCTCGGGCTGTGAGAGATCAATATTTTTCCTTCCACTTATTATTTCCATGAGAACAACTCCAAAGCTGTATATATCAACTTTTTCAGTGATCTGCGATGTTAACCATTCAGGTGCCAGATATCCAGGTGTGCCTCTCATCACTGTCACTACCTTGCTTTGATCCCTGTCTATTAGCTTGGAAAGTCCAAAGTCAGCCAATTTAGCATTGAAATTCTCGTCTAAAAGAATATTCTGTGGTTTGATATCCAGATGAGCAATTTTTCGCCTGCATTCCTCATGAAGATAACATAAACCCTTGGCAATATCCATAATGATCTTACACCTTGTGCACCAATCAAGAGGAGCATTGTTGTGGCGGTAATATATCCACCTATCAAGTGACCCTCTTGGCATATATTCATATACCAGAAGCCTATTTGATTTCTCTGCGCAAAATCCAATTAGCCTGACAAGATTGATGTGCTCAATGCTGCCAATAGTCTCGACCTCTGCCAAGAACTCCTTCTTTCCCTGTCTAGCACCTTCCAGACGTTTCACCGCTACACTCTCTTCACCTATTTTTCCTTCGAAGACCGATCCAAATCCACCTTCGCCAAGCTTTTTACTGAAATCTTCGGTGCATTCTCTTAACTTTTCAAAAGAGAACCGCGTTGGCATTCCAGGCAATATATCAAATTCTAATTCTTCATCTAGTTCTTGATACTTCCTCCTCCTTCGTACATATATAGCAACAATAACAACTAAAACAAGAGTAGTAATTGCTGCAAGTGTAGCACCTAAAATTGTCTTCAATTTTTTTTGTGTAGGGTCAGAAGAGGGAGTAATCTGTACCTTTAGATAAGCTGAAGAGTTGTAATTAACCTTTTCAGGTTGTATTGACTGCAAGGAGAATACCTCTGTCACTGACCGGCATTCTCCATTGGAATCATTCTGACCATACCTGAACGCTACTGCTTTGCATGAGCAATTCTTCAAGCAGGCTTGCTTGCAGTCATCTCTATTTTTTGCATTCATGATGATTTGGCTCATATCAAAGTAAGAAACATCAGTAAGAGTCAAGAGCTGATGATTTTTGATTTCTTGACAAGATACTGGTGTCACTGGTGCACAACCAAGATTAGTCTTCCGCTCGTCAACTAGCTGGAAGTAACGTGAACTAGAATTACTCTGAAAGGGACAGATGCATTGCCCACTTGTGCATATCCCGTACTCCCCGCACACTGTTGGGAAAGCACAATCATCAACATGTAGGAATTCCTTCATTACATCAGACACCATGATCCAGCTTGGTTCTCCACGAGACCACTCAAACAGCCTCAAGTGCCCATCAGACTCTAACCTTATGTACTGGGTGGACTTAGCTTCTTGGAATTGGATACTTTCATCTGGATTTCCTGGATGTGTGGACTGCAAAAAGATGCTGAGGCTGCCATTTGTAAAGGTAATCCTTGTTGGATCTCTCTGGCTCATGTTTCTGCTCAGCTCATGCTTAAAGTATAGTTGTGGTGGTGTGGATTCAACATAACCATGTACACCATCACGGAGAACAGTTATATATATCTTACCCTCAGTCCAATTTGTGGGGGAGGCATTTGCTCTGAGCATCTTGCCCTGCAGCAGTGACTGCCCTGGGACCAATGCGTCGGTGGGATGATCAAATGACTGCCACACTGTCATGTTCCTCTGACCAAACAGCACAAGGTTGCCTTGCTCAGTGATCTCCATGCGTCGCACGGATTGGTCTGAAGTGCCGCTCGACCAGATGAGTCTGCCATTGGCTTTTTCACGGAGGACCAGGTCGCCATCTCCAGTCAGCTCAAGGGTAGCATTCTCTCCTACAGGGCTTGCCTGGTTGGCACACCAGACAACCCGTGCCATTTTATTTACCGGGAAAGAATCTGTGTCAGGGAAAATGAAGACTGCGAAGATGAATTCTTGGCAGGGTGGGGTGCAGAAGAACCCTGCGGCAAATGAGAGATCGGAGGTTTGTGGTGATCGGAGGACTATGGCACGTACCAACCCATCTTCATATGGGACGCTGTCAAGGACTTTGTTTTTGACCCACAGTGTCGAGAGGTTGGCACTGGGATAGACGGAGCGCTGCCCGGACACCGGTGGTGCGGCAACTGCGAGCACCACGACCACCAGCACCGTGAAGTCGGCGAAGAGATTTCCAGGAGACATGTTTCTTGGATTGGAAAGGGAGGAGTGAAGCCAGCAAGAAGCTGTGGTCAGTTCAGAGGTTGACAAGATCTCCTGACCTGATGACACTAAGTCGATGAGCTGATGTGGTCACCGGAAAGATATATGGCCTCACCGTCGCCGGCATGGGGTCGCCGGACTGGCGGACTCTGAAGTGTTTGATCGGCTACTTGTGTTCTCGCTCTCTCAGTACTTCATAACTATATATTACCACCCGGTGCTTTAGTTTTTTGGTTTCTTGGGAAGATGGAATTTTGGCTTGACCAGTTCTAAATGGCCAATAATGGTTTTGGTTTCTGCAAAAAGATATGTAGCCTAGTGGTTACTAAGTGACCTCAAATTTCAGTTTGGATGTTTGCAATTTAAATGTTTGCATATATCCGGTTGGATGTAAAGGCCGAGTAAAAAATATCCGTCTCTAAAAGAAATAATAAAAAAAAGACCAATAAGGCCGGTAAAAATACCTTTCTCTAAAAAATAAAAATAATATTAAGAAAATGACCAATCGAGTTTCCCTATGTTGTCACGTGATTTTTAATAATAAAAAGAAAAAGCACATATTGATAAAAATAAGCATTAAAAAGCCCAAAACTATATGCTACCCGGTCAAAATTAGTTAGCTTCAGTACGGCATGACAAAAAATAACTAGTGGTTAAGCCGGGTAAAAAATACCCTTCCCTAAAAAAATTAAAAATAATATTAAAAAATGGCCAATAATCATCTGTGCTCACCATGTGATCGAGAGTATGGTGAGTAGAGTTAACTATATGCTCGCCATGTGATCTAGTTTCGTTACGTTGTCACATGGTTTTTAATAATAAAAAGAAAAGCACATGTTGATAAAATTAGCATTAACAAGCCCAAAACTATGTGCTACCCGGTCAAGATTAGTTAGCATCAGTACGTATAACTAGTACGGTTAGCCAGTGTATTATACTATTGGCACAAATGTGTGGAGGATGGGAGCGTTGGCTAAAATAGAGAGGACAGCTGGACTAACCCATGACCTTGGTCCTTGGGCTTAGAATTGCAAAAGTATGTATGGGTGAGTAGAGGTAATCTATACTGCAATATGTAGCAACGTACTTGCACGAACATGTATGCTGATTCCTGACCGTCTGGTCGCGAAATCTGGCGGATGGACCAGATTCGTCTCACACGATCGTCCGGAAAAATCACCCGCGCGAACCATTGATCCTATCCCACCACGTACCGATCGACCCCACTCATCCAATCGTACTTCCTGCCTTGCCCGATGACGTACCTCGTGCGCTGTCAATTGCGCCCCTTCCTCAAACCTCCTTCGGCCTTCCTCCTCGTCTCCTTCCGAACACCGTCATCACATATGAGCCCCGAGTGATAAGGACGTCGTCACTTTATACACACTTAATTAACTCCACAAGTTCTAATGATAATTTGAAGTCTAGTTCGACCTCCAAGTTCTAATGATAATTTGAAGTCTAGCTAGTTCGACCTCCAAAATTAGTACCGACTTCAAACATGTTGAACATTTATGCTAACTCCGATTTGATCTTGAACATGTTGGAAAGCTTATCTCGTTACTTTTTAAACACACCCAGTCTCATATCAAAATTCATCCTAAGTCAACAGAAATCATCAAAACAATACATTGTTGTTTGCTGAAACCGAACTTGAACCTTGAGTCTTATAATAGATTATACCCATCTAGGAAATGCCTCTCTCCACCTCCACAACCAGCAACTATCTCTAGCTTTATTATCATAAAAAGCTTTATACATCCTGTAAAACAATTGAGTTTTGTTTATTTGAATTTTGCCAAGTGTCATTCACTTTGTCTCTAGTCATCCTCGTTTAATTAGTCGGTGACTATAGATTCAGAGTCACTAATAGTTGGTGTGTTTATTTGCCGGGTCGATTAGATCTACCACCTTAATTGTAACTATTTCTTGATGCTTAATTACCTATTCGCAATATTTAGATTGTATCTTATCTTATTCATGCAGTGTTCTCTCGTTTGCATTGTAGGATCATCAACCACGCGTCAGGGTTAGTATGACATCGTTTATGGTGTAGCAATTGCACGACGTTCTGGACTTGTTCTGGTTGGTAGACACGTCGCACTTGATCAAAGCGAGAGTTATCACCTCACCAGAAGATTGTACCACAAGATATAGCATCATTAGTTGGTATCAGAGCGTCGGTTGCGTGGTGAAGATTTTAGTTTTGTATATTTATTTTTTCTATCTATCATCTACAAAATTACTGTAAATGGGTCTTCTTTGATAGGTTTGTTTTTTTTTCCATCGTAGGACATCAATTTAAAATATGGGTAGTTTTAGCACACTTGAGCAATTGAGTCAAATTTTAGTACGCTTAAGCAGTGGAGGCACATTTGCCATTCCAGTGGACGTATGGTACGAGTACACACTAATCTGACAAGGTCAAAGAGCTTAGTAGTTGTTTTATATGCAATTTGTTTGTTTTGATTGGTTGATTTTTCTTTAAACCAAATTGCAATATAGGAGATAAAGAAAACGTAGAGATTGATCCAGTAGAGTTTTAATCGATCTGTCTAGGTAAAAGAGCTTTGTATATTTTTTTTAGGTCTGCATGTGTGTTTGCTTGGCTTTTTCTTAACCAAATTGCAATAGAAGATAGTAATAGGAAATACGATGGATCAACGGCACGATTTATCATGCTATGCTATAGGCCCTATTGATGGGGGGCGCAGACACTACTGGAGAAGTACTCATCTCTTCCGGTTCGCAACCCCCTTTACTCCCAGGTAGCGAATCGGAAGGGAGAATCCGGGACTAAAGATGACAGTCTTTAGTCCCGGTTTAAATACCCGGGAGTAAAGCTTCATCTTTAGTTCCGGTTGGTAACGACTTAGCCACGTGGCTGGCACAACCATCTTTAGTCCCGGTTACCAACCGGGACTAAAGATTTTGTTTTATTTTTTTTAATTTGGTTGTGCTGCCTACTGTAGAAATGTATAGTATAGAAATGTATATATTACACATATGTACACTATATGTATCTATACATATCTATACATATATATATAGTGTACACATATATATGCAATGTCAATATATACATATGTAGAAATTCATATGTATATACAAATATTATACACTTAAGAGGCCATATACATATATTAACAAAATATGAGTTTGCAAGTAAGTAAATATACACATATATTACCAAAATAAGTACACAAAAGTAAATGCATGTGTGCATATATAAATATATACATGTATTACAATTCCTTCGGACTTTGTAATCTTTGTTTCTGTTACTACGACTTCCTGGCATTGGAAGAAGAAGGACCGGCTTGATGAATAGGCTTTCTGAACGTGCAGAGATGTAGCCTAGAGGGGGGGGTGAATAGGCTTTCCTGAAATTTTCTCAACAATCGCAGCGGTTAAATTGACAGGGCCCGGAACCTCCTGGTGATGAACACCGGAACTTCTGGGCAGGATGAGTAGCCCGGAACTTCCGGAGTTCTTGAGCCAGGAACTTCCGGGCAGCAGAGATAAATTAAAACTGAGATGAAAAACAGGTCCTAGCAAGGGAAGTTTAGGCACACAGAGGAACAAGATGAAGATCACAAGATATCAGCAGATTCAAACAAAGAACATGCACAAGAGAGACAAAGACGATTTTTTCCCGAAGTTCGGATCACACGAATCCTACTCTCCGTTGAGGTGCTCCAAAGAGCCGGGTCTCGATTAACCCCTTGCCTCACTTATGCAAAGATCTCAGAAGAGGTCCACGACCTTCAACTCAACACTTCTAGGTCATTTTCTAGAATTGAGTGACCACCAAGATCAAACTCAAAATTCCTTCTAGAAAAGGCCACAAGTGCACGTTGCTCTACCTAGGATAACCTCTGAAAACTCAGCACAAGAATCTTTACTCACTTACCTCGTTTCCTTGCGGAGGTGAGGAAAACCTTCACAAACTTTCCCGGGACATCCACAAGATCTTTGGAAGCTCACGGGCAACACATAACTGTCTAGGAGAAGATCTCAAAGAGTAATAAGCCTAAGTGACAGCCCACAAGGTATCCAAAGTGCTCAATCAAGCCTAATCTTCAAGCCATCTCTAAAATACTCCTACACTCTCATCTAATCTCTCAATCTCACAAGATAGGCTCTAGATTTCAGTGGAGGAAGCAAAGGAAGCTTGGGAATGGCTAGAAAATCCTAGAACATAAAAGAACTGAAGTGGAATGGCCAAAGGGTGACCTGGGGACGAAATCCATATATATAATGGCTAGGTGACGTCATCTAGCCGTTACTCACAAGTTTGAACTGGAAACCTGCCAGGAGGTTCCGGGCAAAAGTGCCAACTTCCGGGCAGCACTTAGGAACTTTTTTGCAATTAAACAGCGCCCGGAAGTTTCGGCCAGAACCTCCGGGTAGCCCTCTCTGTCCCGGGGAGAAAATCATTTTTCAAAAATGATTCCAAAAATCTTTTGACTCATGGATATGACTAAGAGCACTTTGTATACCCTAGATCCACACTTGAAACCCCTCTTAATAGTACGGTTTTTCCTAAACTCAATTTCGAAAGTGAAAAACCTAGTCTAATCACCTTTGGTGATTTTTGCACATAGGAACATTCCTATTGGGGGGGGGGTCTCCTTGCATTCTTAGCCATCACAACTTGCTTTTGGACTAAACTCCTGTGAATAAACTTGATAAACACGTTAGTCCCCTTTAACCACCTTGTCATTAATCACCAAAACCCACTAGGGGGTTTAAGTGCATCTTCACTTTCCATCGTAATAGAATTCTCCTGTGGGATCGAGAATCTGCCCGTTGATGAATCTCATCATCTGTTCTTGAACAGCCCTTATGAAATCATCGTGGGTGAGGCTATATATCATGTAAATCATCTGTCATTTGGAAAAAAAATAGGATTATACATATGAAACCAGTAAACAATAATTGACGGATGAATAATTTTACGTACTTCCAGGTCCTGGCCAATCCTGATTTGGTGTGCTAAGCAGTGCATGTAATAGCAGACGTAGTAGCCGCACAAGTTAGTCCCCTATTCCTGCTTTGCACACTGAAAGAGAAACAACGAGAGATTTAATATGCATATCTAATTTATAACAAAGAAGTAATTCAATATAATATTGGAGCATGTACTAACCGGAAAATTGAACCTCTGTGTGAGTTTTTCATTCCAAATCCCGCGGACCAATGTACAGAACCGAATCCATGCCCTATTTACAGTTGTTAGGAAGGATTAATTTATTATCCGAGATCCGTATAGTACTTGTAGAATGATTCATAATGACAGTGCAATATATGACAATACCTATCTATCACTTCGAAAATATGTGCGAAAGTTTTCTCCGGTTTATCCATTGATTCGTAGACATAGATTTTGGATTTCTCAAGGTTGAAAAGAATAAGGACCCAGTGGAATCTGCAATTTGCATTAGATGATACATGTGTGTGTGTCTATATATATATATATATATATATATAGAGAGAGAGAGAGGAAGGAACAAAATTGAAGTTATGATTGTAGGAACTCACGATGTGTTGTAGGGAAGTAGTATGAACATCTTATAATGCTGCTGCACCGGGAAATGGAGGATATTGTCCTCGGTTTGTTTCTCATAGTTTTGTAGCATCAGCGTGTTCACTTTGCGGGGGTCCATGAATCCTGTATTGAATTTGTTGTGCCGACGGCACAACTGAATCTCTATTCTACAACGGGTACAAGGAATTTGTATAAGCTACGTTCAAAGGAGGAACAAAATTGAACTATAAACAATACTTACAAAGTCCACGTGCTGAGAATAGAGACGTCGAGGGCGTCGCGGTGGTATAAGTCGAAGACTTCTTTGTAACGGATCCAAAGAACATCATCTCCTTGATAATAATCTGAGTTTCGCACCCTCGCTCCGAACATCTCTCTGCCCATCCCTGATTTGTCCAAGTACCATTGATGAAACCGGTACATCTGTGTAGGTAGCTTTCTCTTATCTTATCAGGCGTGACTAGCGGTTCACCATGTTTAAACATGTACTTTTACCGGAGCTGTTTCGATAGGTGCGTCCTCTAGCAACTCTGCTCCATCTTTAGTCCAGTTTCTTTCAAGAACTTGCGTATCTCAAGTTGTTCCGGATCTACGAACGGTTCAACCTCTTGTTGTGGCTACAGCCCCAGCTGAGGGACTTCCATTCCGCACTTCACTGCTGCAGGCTTGGCTTTAAGAGCCTTCCTCAATGTTCGATCATAATCAGAAACTACGACCGGTTTGCTCAGTTCAGCCATCTTAATAAAGTGATCCTGAACCACTGGGGATATAGGGATCTTCTTTTCCGGACTCCATGGCTTCAACTGCTCCCTAACTTCCACTCTAACGGCTTCATCGAGCTCCTCCGGAGTCAAGTCATACGCCCTTTTCTTGAGAGCGGGGAGCCTTGGCTCGTCAGATTTGGCTTTCTTCTTTGGTCTTGATGGCATGGGCTCATATGGGCAGGACCTTGACGGTGTAGACTTGGCAGTTGGTGTAGGCTGAGGAGTCGTTGCCCGCGGACCCGACGGTGCAGACTTGGCAGCAGGTACACACGGAGGAGGTGGTGGAGGCAGAGGAGCGGGAGGAGCCGGTGTAGCCGAAGGAGACGGAGGAGGCGGAGGAGACGGTGCTTGCGGCGGGGAAGGAGGAACGGACTAATAAACCACTTTAGTCCCGGTTCTTTTTGGAACCGGGACTATTGTGGAAATCGCCCGACCCTCTAAAGATCACTTCTCCAGTAGTGTGATACCTGACTGGTCGCGTGCATGCGAGGCCACATGATCAGCTACATATGTATATACTATCTACATGTATAATGAGTATGTATATATTGTATATACATACATATATATAAATATATATATAAATATAGTTTTTTATATGTATACATTTTAATGTATAAAAATATACATTTTTAATGTATAAATATATATATACACATATATGAAATTTGTATACATATATATACAAACTTGGTATATGTATGTACATAAAATATACCAACTTTTTATACGTATATATACAAAGTTTATATACGCACGTATAGAAATACCAAAAATACACGTATATACATGTACATAAACTTTGTATACACGTATAAAAAGTTTATATATGTACGTCTTTAAATAACCGGAAAAAGAAGGAAAGAAATAACAGAAAAAAACCAAAAAAGATGGGGACGCCTACGCGTCGGGCGCCCGATGGTGTGGGGGAAAATCGAGCGTGCAAAACCACTTTAAACTATTTTTTCTCTTAAATTATTTATCCAAATCATGATCCGATTGCACCATTAAATTCATTGCAATTAAATCTTTAAAACAAGACCATACATGGATATATTCCAATGAAAAATGTTTTTAGCTTATTATTGAATTATTTTTTAATGTTGCACGATGTTCCGCCAAGTATATCGGATTTGTTTCACTAAGTAGATCGAAAATGTTTCAATTGTTTAAATCGGGTGTTGTTTCACCTTATATAAAATCAATGTTTCAGTTTGTTGCAAAAGAATGTTTCAGTTCACTGCAACATTAGATCTATACATAGTGAAACATTGTGAGTATACTAGGTAAAACATTTTTGGTGGAACAAACAATGAAACGAAATCCCTTAATAGAGAGTTTCTAAAATATGTGGGTAATTTGTTGCAATGGAGTTGTGTGTGTGGACACGTGGTGGGCCCAGGGGGCACCTGCACGCACGCACACGCGCCCCTTGGCATGCACGCGCGCGGGGGTTGGGGGAGCGTCCGATTTTTGCTCCCCCCGCCGGTCGACCGAGCAGAATCATTTTTGAAAAAAGACGGAAAGAAAAAAATGAAGGTACCAAAAAATGACCTTGTGCCATTCGCCGCCCTCCCCCTCTCCGCACGCGCTATGTGTCCATCCGTGCGGGGTAAGGGGCACGCAGATGTCCGAGAAATAGCATTTTCACTGTTGGATCTCAAGAATTCAAATGGATTTTGCAAAATTTCCACACAAAATAGAAAGACACTACTATACGTGTCTTTCGACACATTTATCAGCCTAAATCTGTCAAATTCTGAGACCATATAAGTAACAATAGATTACTAAGATTAATACGATACCAAGCACAAAAATTGTTATAAAAGTTAGTTGATTGAACAAAACGATGACTAACCTTGATCAATTCAGTCATTGATCACCTAAGACATATCAGATGACAACACAGGAACAGACAATATTTATTAACGAAGTTCAGCCGAAGCCTACATGTCTGGGACTTTGATTATGGACGCTCCAACCCAATCAATATAGCACGCTTTTATTCTACAAAATATTTAGTAATACTATTAGGAGTGCAGCGCGCTCCTTAGTATTCCGAGCGCCAAACATGTATTAGTCCAGGCGCACTTCACCCCACGTCCCGTCATCCCGCTCCCATCGTTATCAGAGTAAACGATTTACTTCGATAATAAAAACAACTTCCCTACTCCCGATCCCATCCCATGTCCCGTCATCCTGCGTCCACTATTATCGGAGTAAATGGTTTACTTCGATAAAGACAACTTCCCTGATTCCTGTATATATTTTATTTTTCCCATACCCAACCAACCACTCTCGTCCCCACTTCAATTTTTTTCCCTTTTTTTCGGATCTGAATTGATCCACCATCCCAGCCCACAGATCGGTGACGCACCATGGAGTAGGACGGCGACACCGTGGCGGTTGAGGGCTATTGATGGTAGTTAGCGATCAGGTTTGACCGTCAATATTACCAAAATAGAGGAGAACTAGTTATGCTTGCATTGCATATCCATGTTAGAATAATAATATTCCATTAGTATTTGGTTCACTAACATTTTGCAGAGAATAATCATTAAGTGGAGGAGAATCGACATCAAATCAGATGATAAATCAATCGGACGATGTCGAGAATCAGACTTATGTATGAATGGGCCAAGAACTCAGAATTGACACGATGAATTGGGCCAAAATTCACAAGTCTGCGTATGAGAGCAACGGAGGAGGCCACCTGCCAATTTTGGGCTAGGCCGGCCCGACCCATGGTTCGGCCGAACCCCCCGCAGCGCCATTCAATCCAGGTTTCTCCTGGACGGCATAGATGACTCCCCAATAACGGTTGGTGGGTATTACCGATCTTTCCAACCGTCATAACCGTCATTCTCAAGCTATAAAAGGAGCTCTCATCCTCATTTTACTCACACACCTCAAGCAAGAGTTCTCTCATATTTTCTCAAGTTAGTTTAGTGTTCTCAAGCTAGTGGAATAGGAATAGAGTAGAAATCGGAATCCGGAAGCCTTCGGAAGTGTTCGGGTATGGCTCTAGTAGCTCTTCTCTTCTCTTTTGTAAGCTTTGTACTTTTATTAGAATACTCTTCTATATACATTTATGGTATTGAAATACTTTCCGAGTATATGGATGCCAACTTTACATTATGTTCATGTCATACTGATTATACCGCTAGCTTATCTGGGAGATGCATTGGTACGGGTATAGTGTTTGCTTATGCAATTACTCTATATCATGACGATGATATTAGAGTAGTATCTGATAGTTTAGGCGTAGTGTCTACATTACGGGATATCATTATTTGGGGTTATATGCTGCGGATGACAGGTGGGATGCTGATGGTGACAGCTCATTACGGGTATTCCTCCGCGCGTGTATATAGTTCTAAGTTAATTTTCTGGGGAGGGTACTCCTCCGTATTTAGCCCCGATTGTATGGTCATGACGGGCTGTCGTAAGGAACTCGACAGTTAAGGGTGGCTTCTCGAAGTATCAGGAGGACATCGGATATAGGGAATTAGCTAGTATGTCAGATAACTAGGATGTATGTATACTATGTATACTAGAAGTATAGGAATAGATTCTCTTTCTATTTTGTTTCCACTTAGCTTACATCCTAGCCACGCCTGACATACGTACATCTATACAACCGGTATAGATGTATAGATAGATAGATTAGCAGAAGTGGAAAACGTGAGAACTCATAATTAAAAAGTACTATTAGTATAGGTATAGATAGATAGATTAGCACCATACCATTTCTGTCACGTTTTCCATCCATCTCCCTCATTTTCCGTCTTCTTCCTTCTCTCTTCCTCAAGAAATGGCACCACCCGCACCTGTTGTGACGGCAGCGGCAGACATCCCCACCGGTGTGGCCGCCCTTGCCTCCGCCGGACGACGACAACCTCATCCAGGAGATCCTCCTCCACCTCCCCTCACAGCTGTCGACCATTCGGCCCTCGCGCCTCCCTCGTCTGCAAGCAGTTGCGCCGCCTCGTCTCCCGGATTCCTTCGCCGCTTCTGAGCCCACCACCGGGATTCTTTCCTCCTCGGCGTTTTCAAGAACGAGCTCTGCTACCCCATCTTCAGATCCGTCCTCGATCGCGAGATCTTATCTCGCTCAACCATTTCGCCCTGCGGCTCAACGGCGACCACGTCGCAAGCCTCCTCGGTTGCCACCACAGCATCTTCTCATCTTCAACTACAACACCCGTGAGTTCCTCGTGTGGAATCTCGTTCGGCAATCGCCATAGCCGTTCCGTCGAAGCTCACCAGGGAGGGGTGGAGGGAGAAATTCGTCATGAACGGCGTGATGCTTTGTGTTGCTGCTGTCATCGGCGACGGCAGCCATGTGCACGGCAGCGGCTTCTAGTCCTGCCGCTTCAAGGTGGTCTCTTGATCCCGCACCCGCCGCCGCCATCTTCGCACCTACTGTTACAGCCCCAGGTGCAGTTGGCGCCACCGGTCGTGGGGAAGAGAGAAGGAAGAAGACAGATTGATAGAAAACGTAACAGGAGTGGCACTGTCCCAATTTTATAAAAGTCCAGTGACATTCATCTAAATAGCTGCATATACCATGGCACGGACCTAATTGTTTTTTTAAAAAAAAACGGAGCAATGGCCTAAGTTCACAGATGGCCCACACAGGCCCATGTTCATACATGGCCCACGCTGGCCCATGTGGCGCTGCGTGGAACAGTTGGCCCAATTTCCATCCCCATCCGTGTCAATATCGATACACCCTTCGCGGCGGCGGCGGCGGCGGAACGACGGCGACCGGCGGTCGAGCCGATCGAAAGCATCACCACGATGATGGCCGCATCGAGAACGGCGTTCGCCTCCGGCGACCTACTTCTACTCACTGTCTCCTCCTCGGCGTCAATCCTCACCCTGGCAAAAACCCAAGGTATCATCAAATCCATCTCGTTCAGTTCTGGGCGCCGTCGTCGGCCGCGAGATCCACAGTCCATACCTACACCCGGCAAGCTTCCTCTGATATCTAGTGATTTTTTCGGCATATAGAAAAACATCATCCAAAAAATCCAACATATGTATTGTTCAGGTTTAGTGATAATATTGATATGCAGTTCAGATAGCTAGTAGTAGTTTGTTTTCCAGGATAGGCAATTCAAACATGAAACATATTTGCAGTTTAAAGAAAATGTTATTAGTAAATTATTCTTCCAGTGCATTGTGAAACATACTTCTCACAAGAAGAAATATGATAGATTACCAAAGTAGTTACAAAATATGATGTGCATAGATCGGTGGATTTTCTTGTGCTCAGTAGCCGCCTATTTCATCTTGGACCAGATAGAATCGATGCAGAAAGTGGAGCTGAATATGTGGATGAGTTGTCTTGAGTAGATATCACTGAATTTGCATTGACAAAGCTGTAATCCAGGCAATTTTCCACGCTCACTGCGCCTTCCAATACCTTGACAACCATCGACATCGAAGGCCTTCTGCTGCTCTCATTTTGCAAGCACCACATTGCGAGCTTCAACATTTTAATCACTTCCTCCTGGTGGTGTGAGACCATATCAGTACTTTTCTTATCAATTATATCATTCAATTCATTGTCTTTAGCCTTCTCTCGCAATAAATTGATGAGCTGAACGCTTTCCTCTGGCTGTGAAATATCGATATTTTTCCTTCCACATATTATTTCCAAGAGAACAACTCCAAAGCTGTAGACGTCAACTTTTTCAGTGATCTGTGATGTTAGCCATTCAGGTGCCAGATATCCAGGTGTGCCTCTCATCACGGTCACTACTTTACTTTGATCCCTGTCTATTAGTTTGGAAAGTCCAAAATCAGCCAGTTTGGCATTGAATTTCTCGTCTAAGAGAATATTTTGTGGTTTGATATCCAAATGAGCAATTTTTCGCCTGCATTCCTCATGAAGATAACATAAACCCTTGGTAATATCCAGAATGATTCTGCACCTTGTGCACCAATCAAGAGGAGCATTGTTATGGCGGTAATAGATCCACATATCGAGTGACCCTCTTGGCATATATTCGTATACCAGAAGCCTATTTGACTTCTCGGCACAAAATCCAATCACTTTGACAAGATTGATGTGCTCAATGCTGCCAATAGTCTCAACCTCTGCCAAGAATTCCTTCTTTCCCTGTCTGGCACCTTCCAGACGTTTCACTGCAACTCTCTTTTCACCTATTTTTCCTTCAAAGACTGATCCAAATCCACCTTCGCCGAGCTTTTTACTGAAATCTTCAGTGCGTTCTCTTAACTTTTCAAATGAAAACCGCATTGGCATTCCAGGCAATATATCGAAATCTAATTCTTCATCTAGTTTTTGATACTTCCTCCTCCTTCGTACATAAATGCCAACAATAATAACTAAAACAAGGCTACTAATTGCTGCAAGTGTAGCCCCTAAACTTACCTTGATACGTTTTTGTGTAGGGGCAGAAGCGGAGGGAGGAAGTTGCACTTTGAGGTAAACAGAAGAGTTGTAATGGAGCTTTTCAGGTTGTATTGATTGCAAGGAGAAGACCTCTGTCACAGACTTACATTCTCCATCGGAATCATTATGGTAATACCTGAAGAGTACAGCCCTGCAGGAGCAATTCTTTAAGCAGGCTTGCTTGCAGTCATCTCTACTTTTTGCATTGGTTATAATGCTGCCATCAAAGTAATAAACATCAGTAAGAGTTAAGAATTGATGGTTTTTCATTTCTTGACAAGATATTGGAGTCACTGGTGCACAACCAAGATTAGCCTTCCGCTCGTCAACTGGCTGGAAGTAGCTTGAACTAGAATTAGTCTGAAGAGGACAGATGCATTGCCCACCTGTGCATATCGCGTACTCCCCGCATACTGTGGGGAAAGCACAGTTATCCACGTCGATTACATCATCCATGTGGATTACATCAGATACCATGGTCCACTCAAATCCAGACCACTCATACAACCTCAAATGGCCATCATACTCTAACCTTATGTACTGGGTGGACTTAGCTTCTGGCAGTGCAATTCTTTTATCTGGCTTTCCTGCCTGTGTCGACTGCAGAAAGATGCTGAGGCTTCCATTCGTAAAGGTAACCCTCGTTGGGTCTTTTCTGCTCTTGTTTGTGTCCACCAAATATTTATAGTATAGCTGTGGTGGTTTGGATCCAACATAGGCATATAAACCATCTGGGAGAACAGTCATATACAACTTACTCTCAGTCCAATTTGTGGTAGATGTATTTGCTCTGAGCTTCATGCCCTGCAGCAATGACTGCCCAGGGACCAATACATCGGTTGGATGATCAAATGACTGCCACACTGTCGCATTCCTCTGATCAAACAGCACCAGATTGCCATGCTCAGTGATCTGCATGCCTGCCACGGATTGGCCTGAAGTGTTGCTCGACCAGACGAGTCTCCCGTCGATTTCACGGAGGACAAGATCGCCATCTCCAGTTAACTCAAGGGTAGCATTCTCTCCCAAAGGACTTGCCCGGTTGGCCGACCAGATAACCCGTGCCATATTGTTTTCCTCTAAGGGTAAGCCATAACCGCTATTGAAGTTGGCGATGAAGACAGCGAAGAGGAATGCTTGGCAGGGTGGAGCGCAGAAGAACCCTGCGGCAAAGGAGGGGCCATATAAAGTTTGTGTTGACCGGAGGATGATTGCGCGCACGGCTGACCCGTCGGTGTAGGTGATACTGTGCGGGAGCACCGCGGCGTTGTTGACCTACCGCGTCGAGAGGTTGGCCGTGGGATAGTCAGGGAGCTGCCCGGAGACGGACGGTGCTGCAGTTGCAAGTACCACTGCAACCACTGCCATCGTCGTCACGTCTAAGCAAAAGAGATTTGCTGGACGCATGGTGCTTGAATTGCAGAGGGGACTGCAAGAAGAATCTCTTCTTAATTTGGTTACATACAAGAAGCCAGGCAGCAAGGAGCTGTGGACATTGGAGAGGCTGGCAAAGATGTCCTGACCTGAATCCTGATGATACTGAATCTATGAACTGATGTGCTCTCCGGAAAGATGGCCTCGTCGTCGCAGGCAGAGGGTGGCCGGATTCCGAAGTGGTCAACTACTAAGTCTTCTCTCTCTCTGTCTGAATACAAGCCAAAAGACTACCAGTCTTCCTGGTGCTTTAATTTGGTTTAGGTTCTCTTGGGAAGATGGATTGGCTTGACCACTTCAAAAAGGCTAATACTTGGCATTGCCGACATTGCCATGTGATCGATTTTGCGTGTCAATGTCAATATCGAACAAGTTTCCTTTGTGCTGTCTCGTCGATTTTTCATCCTAAAAAGAAAAAAAAGAGAAGTCGTGCCGATTATATTCAAGCATTCTTAGTCGAAAAAAGATTATATTCAAGCATTGTCAGAGTAGATATTGGCATGGTAGGCATGGTAGTAAGAAGCTTCATAATTAAGCATTGCCACGGCATTCCCTGATTCCCTTGTGCCATTTTCGTTCTGGGAGAGCATGACAAATAGTAGCTAGCTAATGAGGTAAGATCAGTTAGAAAACACCTGAATAATATTGGTTAATGTAAAATTTACATGTTCGGAGAGGGACGGATAATTTGCTTATACTTCAATATGTACTCCCTTCATGCGTAAGCTCTCCTATATACATGAGTGCTTATTATTATTATTATTATTATTATTATTATTATTATTATTATTATTATTATTATTATTATTATTATTATTATTATTATTATTATTATTATTATTATTATTATTATTATTATTATTATTATTATTATTATTATTATTATTATTATTATTATTATTATTATTATTATTCAGATTAGTAAAATGTCCATACGAGTAAAGTGAATTTAATTACCTAAAGAGACTAGTCTCCGACGTTCGAAATTTTTGCTAGCGTCTATTGAGTTCCTCTAGCTGTCATAATTTCCTTTGTGGAGGATCCTGTTTGCGAGTAAATGCTTGTATATCTGAAGACAATATTTTCTCCTCTATCATCCAGCCAGTGAATAACAAGTGCATTCTGCAAGTAAGGGCCCTTTTAAATATTAGGAAGGTAAAAAACAGAGAAATAGAAAAAACATGGGTCCTCTTAAATAGCAGGAATAGAAAAAACAGGGAATAGAAAAAACAGAGGAGTAGAAAAAACATGGGATTCTAATAGAAATGCAAGTGTAGGGAAAACATAGAAAAAATACAGAAATGATCGTTTGATTGAACCACAGCAAAAACGTAAGAATCGGATGAAAGAGATAGACTCGAAGGAATTTTTTCAAGATATTGGACTTCTTACTAATTTTTCTCTAAAATCTCTATAGGATTATCCATTCCATATGAATTTTAAAAGATGGGATATGATTCAATCCTTTGTTTCAAATGTTTTCATAGGATTTTTTTTTCATAGAATTGAAATTCTCCAAAATTTCTATATTTTTCGTATAAATCGAAAGGACCCTAAAGGTTAGAATGGTGAGGTCACTGAACCAATTTGTGAAAGTGATTGGCAGAGTAAGAGTTAAGACAAGTGCAGGTTGGTGATCACGAGGGCTTCTTCCTGTTAACGGGGACAAACTACAAGCATTGCCAGAAAAAGAATGAACCATTGTACTCGAATTTTTTAGCGGATTCAGATTCGGACACTGACAGTATTGGGTGTTCATTTAATTTTCATTTATGTATGCTTCGAGTTGGACAGCCAAGCGGGAAATATCCATCACATTTTCCTCCGTGATGATGTATAGAAGTATTGCTACTCTCATCTCCTTACTGCAAGTATATGTAAGGATGTGTGAATAAATTTCAGTAAATAAACTGCTTTAACAAGCTATTTCAACTGCCAGTTCGTTAGACAATGATTTAAATACGAGAGTACAACATCATATACAAAACATGATATCCAACTACATTACTTTATGGGTGAAAATAAAGCCACATTACAACTTCTCAAAGATAACATCGAATGTATAACTTGCATATATACAAAACTGCACCATGTCACATGTGTATATCAGTATATGCCATGCAATAATCTATATACATTCCATACAAAACTGCACTATGTCACATGTGTATATGCAATGCAATAATTTGACTATTTCCTTCGCACCCAACAAACACTGGTGGAGAAAGCGTCTGTAGTCCCGGTTCGTAACCCCCCTTTAGTTCCGGTTGATCGATCTTTAGTCTCGGTTGGTGTTCGAGCTGACATTTTTTTTTTTTTGCATGGCCCTGTTGCTGCATGGTTTATATATATATATATATATATATATATATATATATATATATATGACCAAAATATATATTTACATTAAAGAAAATGTGTACACATGCATATAGAAAAATAGACATGTATTAATTACAATCCATTATGTCCTAGCTAGCTACGATTTTGACGTAGTAGTAGTCGCTATCTCAGAAGCTAAGGACCTATGAATTGTATTTCCGTCGTAGTAGAATTCACCCTTGGGATCAAGGATTTGTTCGTTGATGAATCCCATGAGTTGTTCTTGAACCGCCGCGATAAATTCCTTGTGTGTGATCAGGTTATCCCTCATGCGAATAAACTATATGAATGTATGAAATTAATTAGTAATTAAACAACAAATCGATACGTAATGAAATTTTGAATTTATTTGTACGTACATCGAGCTCTCTTGTGGTGATGATTTGGTCTGCAAGGCAGTGGCAATACTCGCACACATAGTAGCCTCACAAGTTAGTTCCCTGCTTTTGCTTTGCGCACTATAAATAAATGACAAACGGCGAGAGATGTAATTAATATACACTTGTATATATTTGAATCAGAGATTCAATATAAATGTAGAGCATGTGTACTCACAGGAAAATTGAACTTCGGCCTTTCTCTCCATTTGCCGCGAACCAAATGATGGAACCGATACCAAGCCCTACATGGAGTTTAAAGATATGATTCGTAGTAGCAATTAATTAACATAAGAATTTATGACAGTACCTATCTATAAGTTCAAAAACCTTATCAAACGTAGACTCTTTTTTATCCATTGATTCATATACGTTGACGGTGCAGGCCTCCAGGTCAAAGAGTAAAAGCACCCAGTAGAATCTGCAATGTGTGTGGGATGCATTACATATGAAACAGTTAGCATGTTCGTACGGGAATGAAATTTGGTATAGGAAGACAGTAAAATTAAACTAACTCTGTGTTGTACGGCAACAGTATGAACGTCTTATAATGCTGCTCCTTCAAGAGATGGACGAGATCGTCCTCTGTTTCTTGCGGATACTGGTCGAGCATTGCGACGTTTACTTTTCGAGAGTCGATGAATCCAGTATCGAAAACCCCCCGCCGTCGGGCCCTTTGAATCTCCATTCTACAACGATAAAAGGAAGTATATATTATATATAGTCTACTTATATACAAGGACCTATTTAATTAAAGGAAACGTAATAAGAAATCTAACTGAAAGATACTTACAAAATCCAGCAACTCATAATAGAAGCGTCGAGGGCGTCCAGCTGGTATAGTTCGTAGATACCCTTGAAATTGATCCAGAGAATGTCATCTCCTTGCAAGAAGTTCGTGTCCTTGATCCTCGCTCTGATCATCTCTCTACCGGTGGCGCTCATCTCCATGTACAGTTGATGGAACTTGTATATTTGTGTGGTTAGGGACTGCAGCTGCTCAGGCTTGACAAGCGGTTTACCGAGTTCGTACATGTATTTCACTTCCGCCTTTTCGATTGGTGCGCCTTGTAGCAATTGATCCGTAGTTAGCCCGGTGTCATTAATAAAGTCTTGTATTCCAAAATCTTCACCGGTCACCAACGGCTCGATCTCCTGATTTGGTTGCTCTTTAAGCTGAGGGACTGGTTTGGATTTTCCAGAAGATGCTTTCTTGAGTGTTCGCTCATAGTCCGATAGCTCTATGGCCTCCTTGGCAGGTGCAGACATACCCCTAAAGAAGTTCCTGACACTCAGGTCTATAGGAATCTTCTTTTCTGGACTTCGAGGCTTCAATTGTCTCCTGACTTCTGATGCCACAAAAGCGTCAAGCTCATCTTGCGTGCAATCGTACCCCAGGTCCTTGTTCTTGGCGGCATCAACTTCCGCCTTCTTTGTTGCCCTTGTGGGGGCAGGCGGTGGAGCTTGGGGGGCCCTTGACTTGGAAGGTGCCGGACAAGGAGATTGCGGAGGAGTCGGTGTAGGAGCCTAAGGAGGAGTCGGTGTAGGAGCCTGAGGAGGAGTCGGTGCAGGAGCCTGAGGTGGAGACGGTGCTGGAGCATGAGGAGGAGACGGTGCAGGAGCCTGAGGAGGAGATGGCGGAGCCGGAGGAGATGGTGCACGAGACGCCGCTTGTCGCCCAGGGAGGATGATGTACCGCTTGCGCCATAGAATAATGGCGTGGCTTGTGTCTCGTAGATGCGTCTCACCGTCTCCTCCAGGGTAATCCAGCTCGAGGTCCTCGTACGCGCCTTCGACCAACTCAACTTCGACCTTGGAGTATCCTGCTGGAATCGGCCTGCAGTGGTAAGTACCTGAAGGGTCCGTTGGGATGGCCATGCCCGACGCCACCTTCACATGGTGAGAGGTTATTTATTAGTAATCAACATATATAAGCAGCAACTAGCGGAATGGCCAAATCTAAAATCTATAAACTACGAGCTTACATTTATTGATAAGTTCTTGAAGGGAATATGCAGCTCACATGGTGTCCGCTGAGTGATGTCATCAATGGGGCAGGTGGTTTCGTCCTGGGTTTGCATGGTGTCCATACTCTATGATCCTACCTGCCCCGTTGAGGCGCAGCTGCTACGATTTCCTGAAGGGCTCACCATTGTAGGAGGAATGGTCGGCTGGGGATCATGGGACCGATATGCGGCCATGCATTCATCAACCTTCCTTGCCACCTCCTCTTGCATGCTGAGCTCGTAGCTCGATACCCTGAACTCAAGATCTGCAATCTTCGCCTCGGTATCTCTCTTGCTCCTCATCCGACTCCTATACGTGTGGATGTCCTCCTTGAACCCAATCTTCCAAGGAATCACCCCTTTCCCTCGTGTTCGTCCTGAATGCTCTGGAGTCTGCATGGCGAGTGACAGCTCGTCCTTCTCTCTGTCGGGTTGGAACGTGCCCTGAGAAGAGGCTTCCACTGCGTCCGTTAGTCGACGCGCAGCCTCGCGTATCTGATCGCCGAAGACCAGGGAGCCATCAGCTGGGTTGAGCGTTCCACCGTGAGCATAGTACCAGAACTTCGATCGTTCCGGCCAATTAGCGGTGACCGGTTCGATACCCCTCTCCAGCAAGCTAGCCTCCATCTCCTCCCACTTCGGCATCGCGACGCTATAGCCGCCTGACCCCAAGTGGTGATGGTACTTCTTCTTGGCGGCATTTTCTTTGTTTCTTTCCATCATCGCCTGCCCTTGTTGACCTGTCTTATATGCAACGAACTCGTCCCAGTGATCCCTTAGCTTTGGGAATGTGTCGAAGTTCGGTGTCTGCCCCTTCAGGATGTATTTCTGGTACAGATCTCCCTTGAAGCTCTGAAATTGTTCTGCCATTTTCTTCAGAGTCCACCTTTTCACTTTGTCCTCTGTACCTGTGGGAAGGGTGAATGTCTCGA